AACGAGCTATCGCCCTTCTTCTTTGCCCTGTACTCCTGTGAGGTCCTGGGTCTCCTCGACGCCAGCACTGACTACCGCTGCAAGATCATCAAATACCTCGACGACATTGTACTGATGGGTCCCGCGGAGGACGTGGCGGCCGACGTGGAGATTGTCAAGGCTCGTGCAGAGTCTGCTGGCCTTCATCTGCAGCCCAGTAAGAGCCGCTTCTACATGCCTCGCCACCATCCCGCTTCCATCACTGCTATCAAGTCTGTATTGCCAGATGCCATGCGCGATACGGCCAACACGGGCATGACGGTCTTGGGAACGCCGATTGGCCGTCGCGAGTGGATGAAGAAGCAGCTGAACGACAAGGCAAAGCACATTGCTGGCAAGCTCAATGACATGCTGACGACCGGTGTCTCGCTTCAGGCCCTCCTCACGGCCATGCAGTACGTGCCTAGCCTCATCAACCACCTCTACACGCTGCCCCCAAGTCTCACGTCGGGCTTGTCCGAGCTCTTGAACCGTGCTTGCAAGGACACCTTTGTCAAAGCCTTTTTTGCCAAGGTAAACCTGTCTGCACCGGCTGGAGCTGAAGGTCATGACGTTACGCTGGAACAGCTCCTTGAGGCTTGCCCGACAACAAAATCACGACGGCACGCAAAACAACACAAGAGAACAAGTTACATTCACTGGCTTTTATCATGCCAAGAAGTACAAGCGCGAAGAATCACGCACATAGAAACAAAAATCGTACAAAACGACCAAGTATAACCAGAGATACGGCCATCTTAAACACAAGACACATGAAAAGGCAGTCACACATCACAACTACAAGCAAGCACAGCACAAACACAATGAACACCACGGCACGCTCACATACAACAAGAGACAGCGTCGGGTTGTAAAGGCAACCGACCACAGAAGGAAAAGACATCATACAAAGGAAGTCAAAAATTCAGCAAAAATACCACACAAATACAGCAGAAATCAAAGCGAAATCAGACAAAAATACAAGTCAAGCCATCAAAAGACACAACGAGGAACCACCAAGGGAGCGACAGGTGCACACAGGGATCCTGTTAGCGTCAAATCCGTGCTTCCACGCATTTGAACACTCCCACTGCTTTCGCACACACTCAGCATCGGTCGCTATGGGTCTTCCTATTGGTATTCCATAGCTACGACGACCTCACACATTGACACCTACTTTTGGACCCCCTGGGCTTGATCCTCCTCGTGGCAGTCACATGAGTAAACACCGCGTGTGACGCGGTCCCCACGATGCCTGGGCAGCTGCCCTGGGGCAATAAGCTTGTGGCTACTGTTGTTTCCCTTTGTTGTGACACCTGCGGTCGGGCACGAGTTGCACTTTCCCTATCCTCGGGATTGAGCGACTCTACAGCTATTCTAACGGTGCACCTGGTCTGGTCACTGTGAATGCTTGCCGACCGCAGGTACGTCAAGCCCTCTGCCATTCTGTCTTCCCCTTGCTCTCCTGTGTGCTCTGCTCTCTTGTGACCTTTCCCTATCCTCGGGATTGAGCGACTCTACAGCTATTCTAACGGTGCACCTGGTCTGGTCACTGTGAATGCTTGCCGACCGC